GGGGGGGGGGGGGGGGGGGCATTTCTCAGACTCATCGGGACCCATCGCTGCCCTTTCATCTCTCGCCCCCCCCAGCATATTACGTCCTGATAATTACTGTTTTGCTTGGAAATAGCCGAATGTTTTTGTTGCTACGGAGCGAGACGACGACTTGCGCAGGAGGAAATTAAAAGGGCCATCTACAAAACGGCCCGCGGGCTGCTCGCGGCCCCGAGGTGCGGGTTTGATCCGGCCGCCGCCGCCCCTGGCTGTGGGCTGCACCCCCTAATCGCAGGATCGGCTTTGAGGACGCTGGTGTGGGGCCGCGCTCTCCGATCTCAGCCGGGTCTCTTTAGTGAACAGCTGATGCGTTCATCTGCCAAGTATCACCTCTTCACCTTCACTTATGAATTTTCAACTCTTTACATAGCAGAAAAAAACTTAAACTGATAAAAAACCCTAAAGGGATGAAGGGGGGAGGGACATCTTAGCGTGACGAGTGACATTCAGGTTCAGATCTGTCACACCAAGACGACACCTTCACTGGCTGGTCACACACGCTCTTCAGATGGATCTTTTTCCATCACACAAAGTGCCGGAAACATCCAGATTTGGGGCCGGTGGGCATTTCCTGCCAAGGTCGCTTTCAAAGGTATGGACACATATAAAAAGTCACATGGAAGACTCGGTACAACTGAACAGGAAAGGGAAAGGTGCTGAGGTCATCCTCCAGTCATGTGACCCACGGTGATGGGGGCAGGTTACTGATTGTCATACGCTCACAAGGTTCCCTCCTCCTGGAGTCTCACTGATGGCAATGGCTCTGAGACAGGCAGCTTGGATGGGAGCCCCGCCGCCAATCTGGGGTGTGTCCCCCTGCCTGTCCGCCCCGCACGCCTTGGGATGGACACACACACACCCACACACGTTCTCCTGCCAAATCTGACTATTCACCTTGTTCTAAATATCTCTAACACAGATAGCATAAGAAGGGTCATTCTCATTCTTCTGTTTGCAGGATAGAAAATAAAAATACTGTTTTCCTCTGGAAAGGCCTCTGAGAGCAGCGGCTGCATCCTGGGCCCGCGCTCCGCAGGAAGCCCTGCTGTGCCTCATTCCTTTGGCTCGTTCAGCCGTCTTGTTCTTCATCCCATGTGGCGACGCCTGCTAGGCCCTTAATGGTCTTTAGCTCCAGACCACCGCTCCCCAATGTCCAGAAAGCCGGTCATAAGAAGCTGGCATGGTCACTGTGGCGAGGGGGGGGGTTGAGGAGGGGCGCATTTCTGTTGCCAGGCGCCGAGGAAGTCAGGTATGTGCGGTCACCAAGCTTGCAGAGGGCACTGTGAGAAGAGAGGACAGGAGGGAGTCAGAGAAAGGAAACGGGCCACCAACGGCAAACGAGACGCCGCGGTGCCGGCAAATCACTGCGGGGAAAGGCCTCACTGCAGTTCGGTGCGTGACGGATCGGGCGAGGAGGCCACGGCGGATCTATTAGCCATAAACCACATGCCACACCTGACCAAATACACTCCCTTCCTCGTAATGAAAGGCCCGTGTTTCCACTGAAATTCTTTCTGATCTTCGCCTGCTTTTTTTCGGCTCACGGGGTGGGTGTAGGGCAGCTGACCCTGTGCTGACCTATAGGCCAGCAAACAGCCCCACCTGATAAAGGTTGGCGACCAGCTGTCATTAGGTAAGTCTCTGACTGGCGGTGGGGGGGGGGGGGGGGGCGTCAGTGAGCAGGTGGTCTCAGCAAACAAGCGGGTAATAAAGGAGGAGCCGCCTGCAAGCGCGGCCTCCCCCTGCGCCCGCACCGCCCAGGCCAAATACACAGCCTGATAAGAGCAGGAGGACCCACGGGCAAATATGCCCACTCAGCGGGGGGTTGGGGGCACGCCTGACACTCACCGGGCTCCCGCGGGGACTGGCAGCCACCCGGCACGCTTCAGTGTCTCCCTCAGCTCTACTTGCTGCGTTCGGCCAGCGATTCAGGAGATGAGGCTTGGCCGACACCTGCTTTTACAGCCCAATTTGACTACCCATCATCCTCTCAGTGCCAGGAGTCCCAGAGGACAAGGAGTCTCAGAGGACAAGGAGTCTCAGAGGACAAGGAGTCTCAGAGGACAAGGAGTCTCAGAGGACAAGGAGTCTCAGAGGACAAGGCTCGACAGGAGGGCGGCTGGGGGGGGGGTCTGGCTAAGGGTGGCGATCGCGGGCGTCCCCGTAAGAGCATAGGTGCAGTGTGGGAAACCGCGGGCGTGAAAGTCGCAGGGAACAGTGCCTCGAGAAGAGGTGGTGGAATGAGGGAAAGGCCTACATTACCACTGCCTGCAGACTGCCCCCCCCCAGTTCCTAGCAGGCAAGCAAAGGCAGGGGAACTGTAGAGGGGGGGGGGCACCTGAACCTGAGAGAGGGAGCAAACGAGTAGGGACACTCTGAGCCATTGCACTGCCTAGGAGAACCGACCACCGATTGGCCGAGGCAGCCTGATAACAGAGCGCCCTTACATGCGTTATTACCCATAATGCATTGCATCGAAATGTACGGTAACCACCAGCAACACTTTCAGTGATCTATTACAGACTGAACGCTGCACCTGCGGAGAGCTGCACCTCAAATCAGGGTTATCTGAGGGACGAGAACAGGCTGGCATCAAAGCAATCTGGGGTTTAACTTATCTGCACAATGACGCCGCATGGAATTAAGGGAAATTAAATTATGTGTTTCACATGAAAAGGTGCACTGTTCCCCACACTGAGGACCTGGCCACTGAGCCATGCCGCACCCAATCCTCACGGTCACTGAGCTGGCTTCAAATTTAACCCACAAGGCATGACATTTGGTCAGGTGCTGGAGGTAGTCCAGGTGACATTCTCTGATTGTGGTGGCCTTCAGCCGTGACAGTGAGAGATTCAGTCACTGGGTGAAATCGAGAAGGTGGTGCTGATTTTCTCCCCAAGCATGCCCCCGCCCCAGTGCAAAGCCAAACCGGGCCGCTCGGACGGCGTATTTACCCAGGAGAGACCCCCCAGTGGCACCATCTTGTTTACAGCTGTTTCCTGATGTGACAGGGATTAGAGAGGCTGTCATACAAGGTCAACACACCCCCAGCCCAAAGACATGCAATCCATGCTCTTTACGTTCCACGTTTGTTTAGGAAAAGATCAGCAATGAGAAATTAAGACTGGGCAGGTTGGCCTGGGGGGTTAGCACAAGTGCACCTTTAGGGGGCACCACCGCACCTAATACAATGCGGAGCCAAACTGGTTAATGCATCTTTGAGCCAGGATTAACACAGAAGGTTAAGAGCTATGGGGGATTTTGTCGATTTGTGCCAACCTCCCAGGTACCCAAGCTTGTACAACACATCACGTTCAGTGTAGAAGCCCACAGTGAAGAGATGGACACCAAGAAAAGAGGGACTGTATGGACCTTATGGGGACCGGCACTTGGCCACACGGTCTGGCCAGGGAGACCGACTTGAGCCCCTGAGTGTGACGTGGCACCGGGGACTGACCTGCTTGCTGGAAGACATGGAGCCGAGGGAAGCGATGCTGTTGGCGTCCGTCACCACCATGGCGGAGGGGAAGCGTGAGGGATGGGAGTACTGGGGGGGTTCCTGTTTGTGGGGGTACACTAGGAAAGGGAAGGGAGGGGGAACAGAGAAACAGCTGGTAGGTCACATGACCATCGCAGAGCACATCAGGCCATATGCAGGCGCTCAGCGGCTTACTCACTGTGTGAGTGCGTGACAGCAGCCATGAAGGGCTGCTGGGTCATGTGACTGGGCGCCTGCTGCATGAGACCCTGCTGGTGCGGGCTGTGCAGCTGCTGCGGGAACTGCACTGGCTGCAGGGCTGTCAGGCTGCCCGTCACACTGTTGATGACGGGCACCGTCTGCGCCTGCGAGGTGTTAAGACCTGAGGGGGCATGAACATCAGCTGTCATCAGCTCTCCCCACGGGGATGGGCAGCCAAGCCTGCCACAGACAATTCCAGTAAATGAAGGTAAAGGCAGAAAAGGCCGCCTGCTCACTCTGTGCGATGGCCATGACCCCGGAGAGCGGCATGATCAGGTTCTGGGCCTGCTGGTGGGGGTGGTGGGAGCTGTGGATGTTGGTCAGCGTGCTGACAGGGGGAAGGCTTCCGCCTGACACGGGGATCTGCGGGGGGAGACACACAGAACCAAGGTAAGGCAGCCAGCCCACAGTGCGGGTTCTGCACAGTGGTCCCATTGTGAGCCAGTGTCAGTGGGGCCCGGCGGGGTCACACAGGGGCCCCGCTTATCTTATCAGGGCTGAGGGAGGCCCCCCGTGCTCACCATCTTGGCATCAGGTGACAGCAGGCCATGGCCGGGGTCCAGTCCTCCCGGCGACACCTGCTGTAACACGGACTGGCTGGTAGCCATGGCATTGTTGCCATGGTGACTGATGGTCGTGGAGGAAGTGACCTCACTGGCTCCCTGCTGGCTGTACCGGACCCCTATATGGAAAGAGGGGAAATTTGAGTTGGGAGGCCTTCCGGACAGACGGACGGATGGACAGTGATGATGTAACAGAGGCGTTGGCCGGCCTCGCTGTCACTCTGTGACTCAGACAGCAGAGCAAACAGAAACGGCTTTTCAGCCAGAGCTATCAGGTACGGCACACCAAGGCCACGTCACACCCTGTGCACGCACACACACACACACACACACACATACAGGCAGACACACCACACACACACACACAACGCTCAGATCTTTACCTGATCGATGAACGGAAAACAAAAGGAGCCGTGCGCTTCACATACAGCTAAGCTGTCATATCACTCAGCCGCATACGGGCCCCGGGCCCCGGGGCCACACAGCCATGACCGCACCAGCCCCGCTGAGCGGCTGTTTGCTGAGCCACAGGCCAGGCCAGATAGCAGCAGAACAAACAGCCGGGCTCCAGAGACACTGGCCGCGATAGGTGCATTCCTGTCCCGAGGCGGCCGGCGGCCCATCGCAGCCTCGTCTGACCAGAGTCAGGCGTGTTTACACACTCAGACCATCCCTGACCCGCTCATAGCACACAGCTCACCTAAAACACGCCAGTGCTCACGTATGTAATTACCCCGTCCTGAACATTACTGAAGCCAGTAAATGCGTCACAGCTAAGGACACACTTCATTTCACCTTGATTCCACACGGTATGAGTGCGAGCAACATCGCCACAGCCCCCCCCCCCCCCCCCCCC